AGAGAAGAGAAGAGAAGACAAGAGAAGAGAATACAAGAGAATACAAGAGAAGAGAAGAGAAGAGGCCGAGATATTGTGGCGCATCGAAGACGTTTTGATTCTACTTCTACTACACTTACATTTGTTTCTTATTCAGCAAGGTCTTGAATGTGCTGATAAGTTCGAGGTATGACGTCGGTGTGACGTAATTATGACGTTTCAACTCGTTCAGATACTTGACTGACAGTTCTCTAGTTCCAGTGTGGAATTTTTGACACATCTCAACACAGCCTTTTTTATTGTCTGGTGAAATCTCCACATCTTCAAGAAAGCGCTGYGCCACAACTTGAAGGGCATCTGCTGGCCAGGACTAGAAATATAACCAAAACAGCGAATTTGAATCCCATAGCGAAAAGATAGACAATAGACTTATTTGCACGAGTTTTACGAGTTATGCGATTTATGCGATTCAAATTTTCAATTATCCTCATTTTGCTCAAGGGAAAGACACGTGGTCTGAAATAGGAAAAGGGATTATGTTCAAGCTAAAGATATAATAGACCTTTTAAGCTTCGAATGCAAATTGCCCATTTCAGATCACATGACATTCCCTTGAGAATTGTTCTTTTATGACGAACATGTTAAAATATTTACCTATGAAAGAATCAACTCCCAAGAGTGGCATCACATGGGCAAAAATGTGCACAACAAACAACAAAGCTAAAAAGATCTATTCAGATCCGAATATTACTAAAAGTATCAAGTTGTACCTGGAACCAGTCGATGGTGCAGCAGTTAACAAGAGAAGGGAATTTCCTGAGTCTGTTTCTGAATGCATCACCAATGGGGCTCATAGCCAGTACGATATGTAACTGATCTCTGACACGATCAATGAAGTAGTTGAAGAGAGCCACAGGTGAACCATCTGTCTGCTTGGACTTGTCACGTTGTCTGGTACAAAATTAATGAGCCATTATGGACTTTGCATGTGGCCACTTCTAAAGTAACTATATGTTTATGCGATGATTTTTTGCATTGAGGCGCGCAAGAGCGGTAACAAAAACCCAACTAATCGGCTCACCTGACGCACTGTCGCTTTATTTTTCACAAACTTATTTTACAGTGCAACTAGTACTTGCCCCTATCCTCGCATTGATACATGCCAGAGTGACAATATAAGTATAATCAACCTCGCCTGTCCCACTGTAGCATCTTTTACAAAGCGACTAGTACTTGCCCCAATAACCTCGCATTCTGGCATACCAAAGTGACAAAGTACTGCAAAATCTTTACAGAAATCTCTTTTATAAAGTCATCAGTTGTTTAGCCCCCAATGGCTCGCATTGAGGAGCAACAGAGCAACAATAAAAGTAAATTCAACCTCACCTGTCCCACTGTCGCATCTTTTCACAAATTTCTTGTTTCTCATCAAGTGCAAACAGGTTTGGCACTTCACCAGCATTCAGTAGGTTATTGACGTCCTCTAAGAACGATTCTTCTTTAATCTGGCTGTCGGTAAACAAGAATACACCGCTGACCTCTCCTTCAGCAGTTTTTCGTAAGATTGCCTTCAGATCTTCTCGCCACTCAGTTGATGTATAGCCTTTACCGATCTCAACCTGAAAGGAAGTTTTCAAATACAGCTTTAGAGGGTAGTTCTAAACAGCGMTGATTATAAAAGCTTGTATCAGCCTTTCTCATACTCATTAATAATGCATGAGGAAACCAGCCAATCAATGGGCTATTCTTGGGTCACATGAAGTTACTTGAAACCGGCCCTTGAAACCCGGTAAAGTCCTGTGAAAGAACTGAATTCAGTCTGTAGTAATTGGAACAAAATTAGTTCAGTCCTAGGACTGAATTAATTTTGTTCCAGCTACTCCAAGTCGAATAATTAATGAGCATGAGAAGTCATTTCAAAGCCTCCAATATCGGACTGGACGGGATTTCGAGTCCGCGCAATTAGTTCCAGTCCTCGGCTCCTGGAACTAATTGCTTGGATTTGAGATCCCGTCCAGTCCTCATTGTCGACTTTGAAATATTACGTCAAAAATACTCCAACAGTCTTTTAAGTTACCTGACAGAGATCGTAGTCAGACATATGAGCAGCGAGTCTTGTTAAACTCTGCCTTCCACTTCCTCCAACACCGACTAACAGACAGTGACCACGTGGCTGCTTGATGACTCGAGAGATTCGTGACACATGTTCAATGGCAAACCTAACCAAGATACATAAGCAAGTGACTTAGTAAAGTAAAGACTAGACAGATGACGGCACGTATATCATCTTCAAGGCTTTTCTCTTTATATCTTTCATATTTATTCATATCTTACACGTTGTGATCATAAGATAAGACCTTTAGATGGCATACAGGGGGAAGAAAAAGCTCGCGCCGTCGTCTTTCGTTCGAAAAAAAAAACACATTAATTTCACATAACCCAAAGTTAAGACTTTGCTCACTATAAGACTTCCATTAGCTCTCGTATAATAAAGGGTCTCAGGGGCGGATGCAGGAATTTGTTCAGGGAGGGGTGCTGCACACAACGTTAACCCAGGGAGGGATGCACCCCTTAGAATCAAATGGAAAAAACATTATTTTGTACTGGTTATCTTCGAAGTAGGGGCACAAAGTCGAACCAGGGAGGGGTGCGCACCACCTGCACCCCTCCCCTGGATCCACCACTGGGTCTGCCGTTTAATAAAGGGTGTCCACTTAGTCTTATCAGTGTAATCTTATCATTGTATACCTGAAAAGAACCAAGTTCATTGGCTTTTTGCTCATCAGGTTAAACTCCTCCAAGTATGTCTCCACCACACCACGCAGTTTAATAAGATCCTCCACTTCTGCGTATTGTCGCGGGTCAGCTTTAGGATCAATGAAGTCACAGAACATCAAGCTGCGCATATCATCTTCTTCAACCTTGCCATCACCATTTGAGTCGAGTTTTTCGAAAAGGGTGTCGAATTCTATACCGAGGTGGCTCTTAGACAAGTCACGCACTCTGCCGTATAACCATTGTCGATCATCGTCATCAACTAAACGGTCGTAGAACACACGGAATACCTTTCGAAGAGAAATGTTCAAGTTTTATTGAACACTGAAACAACCTCTGGGCTGATCAAAGCCACGGCACATCTATATAGAGTTTCATGAAGGACTATCTCAATTATCGTCATCACCCTCATGCCACTACAAACACGTTCATTGCATAATTTGTTCCGTTAAAATAAACTACAATCAAAGGGATAATTTTGTATTTTACTACATTTGATTACGAACCTCGTGAGTCCACAGTCTCTTGAGTTGGTTATGATCGACCATACTTTCTGGCGAAGATAGCAGAGTTCCCTGAAAAAAAGATGTTGAGAGATAACCTTTTATTACAAGAGGACACTGCAAATGTAACTGACAGCAAAAGCCTCTTCGCTAGTGTGGCCTACTAGCTTTGTACGCTACTTAGACGAGGCCTTGTCTTTATAGTCAACATTACTTAACTTTAACAATAACTAATAAAATGGCAGGATTATCTTAGATGGAATTACAAGCGTTAAGACGCAATAAAAGTACGGATTGTGCGCAATTGGATGTGATTTGCGTCATTCGCATTTTATATGATTTTTAACTCAATAAGGATGCGCTACTTTCTTTATCAAAGGCAAGACGCCACGATGAGTGGTATTCAGTAATGGTTACGTAAAAACACTACATACTTGAATGACTCTTGCAAAATCCCTGAGGTTAAACAAGTAATGGGACTTGGCTGGCGTTGGGAGTAAATTGTCCATAGCATTTCCGTATATCTCGAGGGTGGCGTTAATTAACATATCACCAACAGGACCAAAGTCTTTAGAGAATCCTCTGGAAAAAAAGAAAAAAAGAAAGAAACGCCAGGGTTAAAAATACACTCCCATCAGTAAGATATATAAACATATACTTCTTCATGATCATCAGTGTATGATCTTGTGTTATCGCACAATCAAAACCTTCAAATTTTTATCAGTACCCTGAAACGACCTCTTGCCTGGTCTAAGTCAGGGCACGGCTTATTCACAGATTGATACACTGAAACAACCTCTTGGCACGTCTAATTCACAGATTGATACCCTGAAACAACCTCTGGGCTGATCTAACTCAGGGCACGGCTAATTCACAGATCAAATTGAAATTTGATATTTTAGGCTTTGCAGAGGGACAAAAGCCCCTTGAATCACTGAAAAGAGATGCCGAGTCCTGGAATCAAATCCGAGACTCCAGAGGTGAGAGGCGAGTGTACGGTATGTTTGTAAAGGAATCTATGTCTTTAGAAAAGGCGCAAATAGCCTGCCTAGCGGCCCTTGGTAATCATGGGGTTAGGATTTGGAGGGGGAATGGAAAGGAAGGGGTTAGGGTGGAGAGGGAAAAGGGAGTCCCTCCGAATTCTTATCCTACGATTACTGAAGACCGCTACGCAAGTTAAGGCGCAAATCAAACCTTGTATCGAGATGCCAATTCATGATCCTACCGAAGATCTTAACCATTGTTTTATCATCAAACTTGGTGATACTGATGTTATTGAAGTGTCGTAAGAACCGTGGTGTGACAGGGTTACGGCCACCGCCGGGAGGACCCATAGCCGCCATGATCTGGATATCTACCAGATGAATGGGCGAGGTGTCTTTGAGATCATACCTGTGTAGGGAGAAATAGTTGATTAGTAAAAAAAATACAAGTTGTCTCTGACTTTAAAATCTTGAAAATATGGACGTTTCGGCTTCGCAACTGATGCCTTCATCAGCAAGATGGATTAAGCATAATAGTGTCCAAAAGCTATTTCTTTTCATTCAAAACTCTGTAAACGTGAGGCACGTGATCATGTTCATTAATAGAGGGTTTTTTTACAGAGTGCCATGGTTCCAGAAACATTCGCTTCGACCAATGTTGACAATGGTCGATAATTGGTGCATTCTCAATGTCAAATTCGTGATGAGTTCTTTCCTGAAGTTCAGCCAATAAGTTGATTAGTCTTAACTACTGAAAACATACTGCAATAGAAAAACAAAAATTCCAACATGTAGTGTCCAATAAAACTCTCTAAGATAGTGTTTCTGTTTTTTGTTCAGTTGCTTTTTGTTATGCCAATACAGATAATCATTAATGATTATATCGTAGCTACAATATAACACGAGGTCTAATTGTTATTCAGCATTCATTATAACTCGATGGTGTACACGACGACATGTACAGGATTCACCATTTTCCATACATTGGTTCACTGGTCAAACGCAAAGCGCTCAAGCGAGGCGTCAAAGGATTATTCAAATTTGAACCTTGCAACCTCGACTAAATGCTTTATGTTTGACCAGTGAACCGATGTATGGAAAATGGCGAATTAAAACGCACACCCGGCTATGCGAGTATTGTAGGTCAGTGCATTCGATGTAACGAACATGTGCTATAATCAGAGTATTTAGTCAAATCCAACAGTATTTAGTCAAATCCAACTAGTCTATCATCAATGCAGCGTTCTGATTGGATGAGCTACTACTAGGCTATAACTTATAGCCTTCTAGTAGCGAAAAGTGCCGGCATTGAAACCCAAAACATTAAATTTAACTTTAATTCAAAACTCGTTTGCATCTATATATTTGACCGTCTAGTTGGATTTCACTAAACCAATTACACCTCCAATGAGTCACGCAATGAGTCACGCAATAGCCTATCCGGGCTCGAGGACCAATTGCTACATATTTACAGTAAGTAAGTAACAGCTTGAGTTGGGTTACGAAATAGCCGCTCTAAATAAACAAAGGCAATAGTCATAATACAAGCTGCACATAAGGTTGACGATCACATGAAGAACAAGGCTTACCATTGCCAGTGATCCAGCCACTGTCTGAGGAGCTCGATAGGAGGCTGAGCACCATACACCTCACGAGCAGGCATGTTAAGATCATCTACAAATACAACCTGTTGCAAGAGGAAAATATAATTGTCAGCCTCAGCAAAAAGAGCGAGAAGACACCCATTACTTAAGGCGTACAATTTCCCTATTTCAGACTATGTGTCATTCCCTTGAGTGCTACTACTTTGTCATCATCTAACTAACCATGAAAGGCGCTTTTTGTGGCTTTATTTAAGGACTTTCATGGCAAAAGATTTTTTTAAATTTAGCATGATGAAAGAACATTATGCTAGAAGTAAAATAAGCAAATAAAAAATGGGGGCTCCCGACTTCGTTTAGCGGTCAGAATACATGGAAGTTCATCCTTTTTACGGTAAAAACGTGCGAAAGTAAACAGGGAAAATGTGTAATTTCGATTTGATCCCATCGTTTCATTTTTCCTCTAAAGTTAGGTATTTACGGAGTACTTTCAAAAAACGAAATAAAAAAGAGGGTGCCCGATTTCGTTTTAGAGCTATAAGAGATGAAAGACGCTTTTATGATATTTTGCTTAWCGAAACATTGAAATGACGTCATCACGGTGAGCGCGCGCTCACTAAATTCATGCGTAGAAAGGATGCGCGCGAACAATGGCCATGAACGTCCTTAAACCTTTTATTCAGATTGGGTTTCCTTGTTGCATTTTGTCTTTCCAAAATGGGTGATTTACACTTTCAGGACTTTTTGCGGAGGATTGTACTCACCGACATGTTATTTTTTTAGAAATTGCATGTCGCAATCTATCTGAGATCGACTGGGATATCAATTCCAGTATTTTTTTCGGAGAAATAGGTTGGAGACTGTTTTTTTTTTTAATTTCATGTTATTGATCGATTAACCAGGACCATACTTCCAGACATCGAGTGCTGAACCGTCGTATGGACTTACGGCTACGCTGGAGATTTCGACCCCAACACCGCTATCCCGGGGGGAATTTACAGACTGATCAGGAAGCTCGGCCGAAGCCTAAGGGAGAGGTTAGTCGGCCCCTAGACCGTAGATGATTAACCCCTTGCTATGACCAGCAAACCCGATGTGTCGCATGTGTCGCTGATGGATAAACATCCATGCACGCTCCTTTCCATGTGGGATGCGTTAAAAAAAACTAGCTGTGACTATGCGCATGCACATACACGTCCTTTGAAAACACAGTTGAATACGTCAGAATATCCAAAAATTTTCAGAGTACCACGAACAGAGTCGTTAGTAATCTGTGCCGAGGGAAGACAAACACTTCAAATTCAAAACTGTTAAGCAAAAGAAAATCGCTTCTCTGCAAAGATAAAATACTTTTAATCTATTAGAACTCTATTTTAGTTGAGAAATCGTCGAAAATTAAACTAAGCTCCTCTAGAACTCAGTCCCAATCGGCGAACCGTGCTCTCGTAGTGCTTATCGTTTAACATGCAGCAACTAGTTTCTTATTTGCGAAAACTCTTCTAACATGCAACAACTCTCCAAGAAAAGCAAAACCTCCAAGAAAAACAATGGAAAAGCGGTAGAATTTTCTATTTAGGAGTGAAATGTTTTGACTTATAATTCATTTCAATCGATACACTTCAACGTTGAAACTCTAGCGAATAAACTGATTTCAAAAAGGTTTGACATTTGGAAACATGATGATAGCAAATGGACCCTGCTCATAAATTCACTGTTATGCACCACAAAGTCTCACAAGAAAAGACAACCGACAAACGAGAAACACATAGAAAATCTCAGAAAACTTACAGTCTTTTTGCCCAATGGAGATCCATAAACCCCTTTTCTTCTTTTGTCAAGTTTAGACATGATAATATCCTGGGTTTGCTTGGCTGTGGTTTGAGCCGAGAAGTTAATCAAAAGTGGCTTGTATTTGTCAGGCAACTTCCTCAGCAAGAAATTCTGGAAAAAAGGTTATTAAAGCATCATTATGTCAAATTACAGTTTACTAAGGTTCTAATGTATTGCTAGTAGATATTGTATTTTGACAGTTTGATCCTTCCCAATGTAGATTGAGCACATAGTTCATTTGAATAGATTAACTTAAATAATGTTATCATAAGAATTTAAGTTTGGGCTGGCTGCGGTGAAATATAAAACTTAGGTGAGTTTCCCGGGGGGGGGGGGGG